GAAAAGAAGACGTTCCACATCTTCATAACGTGCAGTGTAGATGTCACAATTAACAAGAACAATTACGGCGGAGAAATAGGAGTTGGAACAACTTGTAAAGACAACTTGAACCAATTCAAGTAACAGAATATCAAAGATATTTGACACTTTTTCTCACTAATGTATTTATTTAATACATTTTTTCAATCATAATATCATACTACTTTTAGCATGAATCACTGAATATAAAAGTATTTAATAAAAAGAATGAGTGTGTGATTGTATCTAACAACAAATGTGGTAACATTTTTGAAAAACAGAATCCTTTTGTAAAATAATTGCTACACAGAAAATAAATATATAAAATAAAGGAAAAATAAAACCATTCACTCCATTTCCTGTCCCTACAATGCCTACAGTGAAATCTTAGGAGTCCACAGAAAACAACCTGTAAAATAGGACTCCTATAAGAAAATGGGTTTAAGTTATAAAAGAACACTTCCACAAAACAGTAAGGAATGATGTCTTAATCTTCTCATCCCTTCAACAACTGCAAAATAAAAAGAGATTATAGCTCCAATAACTGTCAAAAAAAAAATCAGAGTAAATACACGAAAGACTGCAGTTTTGAAAACGCAGCTAGGTATGAAGAACTTTACTATCCATATCTCAAAAGACCACAAGATGGAGATTTTTGCACTAAAGGAATGCGTGATTAGAGCACTGCATGACATTCTCCCGGAGTCTGGGGTCCTTCTGACTTTGAAATAAGAGAATGCTGTTCAAGTTAAAAATTAAAAATCCAAACATTGATGACACTAAAGACAAGTGATTTTACTGAAAGTAGGAAAACACTTCCTAGGACAGACGCTTCCATTTTAAATCAACTGTTTCCTGTACCACTGATCTTGTCACTAAGCGGAATTGTATGTTAAATTCTACTGCAGTAACAATGAAGATAATGAAAGCTATTGTGAGACTCGTTCAAATATATCATTATTTTAGGCCCTCAATAAGTATCTGCTTACTTAATCAAGTTTATGTTCTCCGTATTATACAAGACATTTTATATATAGTACTTATTTGGTTTTCCTAAAAATCACACAAGTTTCCTTATCCCAATCAAGAAGCTTTTCATAAGAACTAGAAGTTCTACTCTTAGTCCCAAGAGAAATAAAAACATACTTCCACATTAAAATTTGTATACTAACAGTCAGAGCAGTATTATCCATAATAGACAAAAAGTAGAAACTATTTGAATGGTCATTATTGATTAACAGATAAATAAATGTGGTACATCCATACAATGGAATACTATTCAGAAACAAAAAGACATGAAGAACTGCTACGTGCTACATCATGGATGAATCTTGAAAATATATAAATGAAAGAAGTTGATCACAAGGACCACAACCTACATGGCTCCATTTACCTGTAATATCCACAATAAGCAAATTGAGACACGTAGATTGCTGATTGCCTAGGACTGGAAGGGTGGGGAAATTGGGGAGTTGGGGGCTTCTTTTTAGGGTAATGAAAATGTTTTAAAATTAGCTGTAGTAATTAAATCACAACTCTGTGAATAAACTAAACAATATTTAATTTTATTCTTTCAATGGATAAACTGAATGGGATGTGAATTAAATCTCAATAAAAGTGATTTTAATAAAAAGCTTTCTAATTTATCAATATAGATAACTGGAGGGAGTGAAATAGATTGGCTAAACTTTCAATTTGCAATTCACCATCAGATATAGATTTTAACTCTATACCTTTCTATGTTTTCTTCTTCCTTTTCCTCCAAAAAAAAAAAAAAAAAAAGAAAACCCTTTTTTTTCTTTCAAGCCGTTTATTTCCTTGTAATAAAGTGAAGATACCCTGAAATGAAGCTCTTTTGCAGCACACTGAGAGATGAGGTAGCAAGCACAATTCAGCCTTTAGAGATTTTAAGAGATGAACTAGTAGAGGTAGGAGTTTCACCAAACTAAACCCAAGAAGACTCAGGGAGTTGGAATGTAGACTTAAAGAGCAGAAATTAAATATTCCTCCTTTTTTTTTTCTTTATTATAGTAGAAAACACATAATAGAACTTTTATTATCTTAATAATTCAGTGAGTGTACAATTAGATAATGTTAAGTGATTTATAATGTTGAGCAACAGCTCTCCAGAACTGTTCATCTTGGAAAATGGAAACATTATACCCATTGAATCACTTCTCATTCTCCTTTATCCCAGATCCTGATAATCACTATTTTATTTTCTATTTCAGTAAGTCTAATTAGTGTAGATAACTCTTATAAGTGGAATCATATGATATTTATTTTTCATGATAGTCAAATTTCATTTTCTTAAAAAAAATATTCTTAGAGTTGAAAGAAGGTCTGGCCTTGGAGCCAATAACTGTCATTTTGTTGATGTAAAATACATATTCCAGGCCAGCCCCAGGGCTTGGTGGTTAAGCAATGTACATTGGAGCTGGATTCCACATGACTGCCTACAGTTTAAGCCCTAGTCCCAGCAGCATGAAAAATGCACTGGGTATGTGGGTGTCCCCAAGATCCTGATGGGAAGGGACACTGGAGGAGAAAGGATTGTGGCAATAACCACTCCCAACTCTCTCTCTCTCTTTTTCTCTCTCTCTCACATGCCCTCTAGCAGTTGAAAACATATACATACCAGGTAAGCAGATGTTAAGGTGGTTAAGGTGCTAGATCACACATAGTGGACTCCATGGTTCAAGTCTTATAACTGGCAGCTTGAAAAATATGTTGTGCATGTATGTGTAAAAGCCTAAAACCCCAGAGGAGAATGGAAAATGGATTGTGATGTGGCCATCCCATCTAAGCGG